GAGTGCAGACAAGCAGCGAATGTCGAGAAAAATAACAAAAATATATTTTTTCCGTTTCTACAGTGTTTTTCAATAGAACGCAGAGTGACGAGAAAATTTTTAAGGAAAAAATCTTTTATTCGCTTCTGCGAAAGAAAAGGTAATACAGCGTTTAAATACTATCTCAAAATGTAGAAAAGTTGATTCGACCAAGCCAATTAGAAAACAGCTCGAGATAAAATAATAGAAACTTCCCGTAATTTATTTTAAAACTTCTGACGAAAGGCAGTTGGGATCGAGGAATCCGAATATGATGTCGGTGTTTCACTTTGTATAAATGAATAGCTTGGTGATAGTTAGCAGCACAGCTTCGACAAGAAAGAGCTGAGTGACTCTTTGGACGAGCGTTACTTGTTGATTAAGAAAAGGACTGTGTTAATTAAGTAGTATCGAAGAAAAAAACACGTTGTTGATCCATTTTAACTATAATGAACTAGAGAAGAAATCGCCCCACTCATTATTTCTCACTTTTACTTGACGTATTGCACTAGCTCTTTTTTACCAGATGTGTCAAAAGAAAAAGATGTTGGTCGTCTGTGAATTGATGAAGAACGCAAGAAAACGTCGTTTTAAGCTTGTTCTCAAATTAACTGTTCTGTTAAAGAAAACATTAACCGAAGGAAAACTTATGTTATTTTCTCGTCATTCATAGGTGGTATACACCGTTTCCTATTATTTTTCCTCCGTTACAGTGCTGTTTAGTTGGAAAATTCCCAGTAAGCTGTCTCTTTTTTGAAGAATAATACTTTCATTTCTTATCAACATATTTGGTGTTTTACATTATTTTCGTTTGTACAAGTAAGTTACTTTACGGGAAAGTCATCGAAGTTGCTTACAACGATTTTTTTTGCACACACATCGTCGGATAGAGCACATTATAATCGTAAAAAGCTTTAAATGGTTTGGACGAAAGAATATCTATCACTAGCTCTAGCTCGTTGTTCCGAAAATTACCGCTACTCAAGTCAACCAATCCGACATTCGACACGATGATCCGACAAAATTCTATCTGATTCCTGACGACGCAACTGCATAGGAATCCAAGTGTCGAATTACTATAACTTTCCAATAATAGCTATACCAGAAACATGTATGAAAAAAATTTAAATGAAGGCATCAGAATTTAGTCTGCATGCTAACAATCTCGCAATGTCTTTCTACAACGACGTATTAATTATTGAAAACGAGAAAGATGTTATGAAGACAGAACACAAGACAATATTTAGATTTTACAAGACTGTGTTATATGGTTTTCTGTAGTCTTGCTCTGCTATTCACTTTTTAAGTTGTTACACTTATTTGTTTCATTTTAGATTTAGAAAACAAAACAAATATTTATCTTCCAAAGTTTATATTGTTCAGAGTTATTAATGCCTTCTTCAGCATTATCTCATTTGCAAACTGTTTTCAAAAGAACTACTATACATACAATCGTTAACTTCAACTATCAGGTACAACTATTTAGGATAGACCAAAAGTTCGGACACTGATACTTTATTCTTATATACCACGCCTGTGAAGATATTCTTTCTACTAGAGTCCTGCACGAGCGCAATTTTTTGCACCCGAACACGAGCTGACTATTCTTTTTATGCACGAACTCGAATCGAACCGGTAAACAAGACACCAGACTCGGAGAGCTTCACCCGTACCCGAACCGAACCGACACCAGTAACATATTTTCAAAAATATCACCAAATTTGTAAACGCTAATATGAAGCACAAACACATAAGATGTAATTTCACTGATAAACAAGATGTTCGGAAAGAATGAGACGAAACGTCATCCACCCAGAAAAACATTATTTATTTAGAATTCCTAAAAACAAATAAATTAAGTGAATTAGTATTTAGTTATTAGTTATTAGATTCATGCTGCTGTAAAATGACTAGGACAGCTGAAGAAACGTTCGCTAGTGATTGAAGGTGGTAAATTTGAAGGAACTGAAAATGTTAAATGTAATAATTTCGAGAAAACAGTTGCATTTTTACGATTTATCGATTACCGGATCGGGTACGGGTGTGCAATCATACTCGGCGGCCGAACCGCATTTTTTCGAAGCATCCGACACCCGAACCTTCCAGATGAATTTTACCCAGATCTAGTTCTGAGTCCGATCAGGTGTCGGATACCCGACCGATTTGAAGGACTCGACTTTCTACATAGGCCAATTGAGAAAAGAAAGCTCTATCTTTCAATGCTATATGATCATACTTCGCATAATGTAAAAGTAGTAAATTTCCGATAAGATTTGTGTCGTTAGCATTCGTGCTCATTGTATTAGATTGCAATAGATGGCAAAGATTAATTTTCCATTCCTTACTACATCGCATCAGCGATGAAAATATACCGTAAAATACAGCACGAAAAGCCCTGCAATACTATCTATGTTATAGTTCCACCTTTTATTTTACAAATGGACAATATTTTCACAGGTCCCAGGCCCAACAATCCCATACTCGGATCTGATCGGATTCCTAGTGATGGAATCACTTCGGATTCTGACGTGTTCAGATCCAGTAGTGGATTTCATAGTTTCCAATAGACGGATTTAGACGGATCCGATCGGATCCAATGTCGAATTAGTTGACCTGAGATTAAGTATTGGGTATTGTAACAATTGATCGTACACAACTTCTATCTTTTTGTAAACAATCATAATAAGCTTTATCTATGAGAATTGTAGAGCTGTTCACGCTGCATCTTATAGAGTATTTTCGAGATAAAACGATAAAATAATAATAAAAAGACATATCATGCCTCGAAAAGCGTCATTTTTTTCTCATAGTTGAAATTTGATCGTCAAAGTTTTGTCCCTTATCGACAAACGAAGCTCACTATAAACAGGTGATCTTCTACAATTTATCGAGCTCCTAACGCTGCATCGTATAGCATATTCTACTTTTCAATGAAGTGAATGAAGGAAGTGGAAACTGCTATTCAAACTTGCAGGGAGCGCGAATGCGAACGACACGAAACTTATCGGAAACTTATTACTTTTACATCATATGAAGTATGATCAAATAGCATAGAAAGAAGGAGCATTCTTTTCTCTATCAATCTATATAGACAGAATATCTTCACGAACGTATTACACGAGAATCAAATGACACTGCTCGAACTTTTGGTATATTCTAAGCAGATCTGGAATTCAGTTATTTTTAATATTACATATAATAATTGGATATCGATCTTTAGCTTTGTTTTATGCAAAGACGGTTAGTCAACACCTTACGAGCGAAACGTTATCCACAGAAATATGAGCATAAGATTAATTTGCACACAGATGGATTCCTCAAAACGGTCATACATAACAGTCGCGATATATACAAGGATTTACGGAATAATTTCAAAGCCAACCGTAAGTTTATGAGGTTCTTATTTTGTAAGTACGTGAAACTAATGTTTTATTGTCTTTTTATTTAGCTGGTTTTAATATTATTTTATTTATCGTTATTGGTTCATATGCTTTGACAATTGTAGGAAGACTGTATCTTGACTATAGAAAAGTGAAACATGAAGAAAATGTCTGGGAACACAACCATAATAAGAAAAATCCCTTAGAATCGATTCCTGATCAAGAGCCGATACATTGTCCGCCTCCAGCTAAAGCGTCCCTATCTCCATCTTCATCAGAAACCTCAAAATGAATTAAAAGCAAGGAGAACAGTACGGGTCACGTGTTGACAACCTTTATGGATCTACGCAGTACCTACTATCAGTTTTATATCCTTAGGTGATTGTAGCGTAACAATGGGTTATTTTAAGGGGTGGGTGAGTTGAGCTACCATGACTAGTTTCATCTTCTGCTCAAGAAGACTCATCAGATGGCTTATGATTTTGTATGATTTAACTCAAAATAAACATTTTCAAAAGAAAAAAGCTCATTTCAAGCAAAATCACAACAAAATTCTATTATTCTGTTAGAAAATCAACAAAAATGAAATATTTTCATCAATTGTATTCGAAAAAGTGGGAATGTTTATCGATTTTTGATATCATGATAGTATGTTTCCTGTTGTATGTGCTCTCATACTATCAAATTTATCGTGGTAAATTTCTGTAGGCTATTGAGTTTTTGTTTTAGACAAAGAATATTGGGTATGTTAGCGTTTTCTGCGTTGGTCTCGTGGTGTGGTATAGTCGAAATGAGCGGTTTTGAAGGAGAATATATTTCTTTCTACTATATACTAAATAAACTGTTGACTGTTATGTGTTTTTACGTGCGAAGTACTGGGTAACCTAGCTGAACTGCTCCTTTTGTCTGATATAGAATGTTTTTCAGGGTTACCTTAGATTTGTGGATTTCGTGGTTGTTGGTATGGTTGAAATCGCAATATATGAATGTGGATGCTGGTAATAATTTTGTCCTTAGTTATGAATTGATGGTTATAAATTTGATTCTCGATTGTCGTTGGTATTTGCTGGAATTGAAGACTGATGTGTATTCAATTTGGAGTCTTTTCGGATGAAAATCTGTTTCGATGAATTGAGGATACTTCATTCATTCGTGATGGATGTGAAATTTCTTTAGATTGTATTTGTGTATACTTTAACATCATTGATTTCTATCGAAATTTGCTGTTTGGGGCCTGTAGATAATTTGAAATAGGGTTAATGTGTAGTTTAGAAGAAGAAGTATAGAGCTTAATTTTGGAGCAGATGAAAAATGAATATTGTAATGAAAATGGTGCCGGTTTATATAGTCGTTGAAAGAAAATGAACTTTGGCCTTTTCTGGGAAGGAATGTAGGTGGAAAAGCATTCTTCCCACTGATTTACATGATAAAATGCTTCAAAATTGGTATTTTAGACGGACGCACATATGAACAAGTAACGCTCGTCGAGGCAGACTCGCTTGACCCTCGTCTGAATGATCATATTGAATTAGATTTTCTATTACTGAGATCATTCAAAATAATTTGACTAAACTACATTTTTCTGTAGCTTATCGTTTTATGTGTAAGTCCCTTTGGAGCAAATTCAAAAACTATACTAGTTTAAACTATAGTTGAGAACGTTTATTTACAAAACTTTCATTAACAACTACATAACAAAAAAAACTTGCTTTATATATGACTAAAGCAACCAAAAATGAACATAAACAAAAATTTATACGCAATCGACGTCATGTACAGCATAACTGGCAAAGAAAAAAATCTAATTCAAAGAATATGAACTTTTTAAAATTCATGATTTTATTGACTACACGTGAACCCATGGAAAAGACGCGTTGTTTATAGTAAAATTATACAGTAGTAATGAGAATTATGTTGTAATGGAGCAAGTTTATTGAAACCATTCTGATAAACGTCTCTGTGTGCTTATATATAGTTGGTCAAGTCGTTCTATTTCGGCAACTTGAGACTTATTTGGCTTCATAAGTAAAACTTTATAATCGAATGGCCGCAGAATTGCTAGATCGCCTAAACGTTTTACACGAGATGATGGCACGTATACTGCTGCGATATCTTCAGTTTCATTTGGTAATTTCAAATCAACAACCACTTTATTCAAAGTTTGACCTTGACTTTTATGTGTTGTAATGCAATAAGCAGATACAAGTGGTAGTGCAGATCGTTTGATTGATAGAACTGTCTTTTGATTTGATTTTGGTTTCTTGTCTTTCGGAAGGATGTCGGCAACATCTACACGAAACGTTTGTTCCACTAATGGGATTGGAATAAGTTTTGGTCCAAGATCTTGAAGTTTACATTCAATTTTCGACTTGGTCATCTCAATCAAAGCATATATTGGTCGACGAATGTATTTTGTATTGTTTGGGAATATTTCAGATAAACTTTCTGTTGATACCGATTCTTCGTGGTATACAAGCTGTCGAAAGATCCCATTGATCCCATTGATGAGACCAAGTTCAGTAGCAATATTTTGCGTCAAAATAACTGACATGCCCGGAACAAAGGGTAGTAAACCAGGTAAATGCTCTGTCTTGCTATCGGATAATTCTAGTAATTTTTTAAGCAATGTTGGATCTTCAATTGCTTTGCCTTTGCAAGTATCTTGAGCGACACAAAATATTGGTGGATGACCCATTTGTGTTGCATTATGAATTGCTGCTTTGTTGTTTATTTGTGTGCGAACTTCATTTCGGAACACGAGAATGGGAGCCTAAAAAGGAGGGAAAAAGGTAATCTGTTCTCCACATTAAAACGTGAATTTACTTTGCTCCATGGTGAATCATGCAGAGATTCGATTGATGGCTGCCCGACAACTCGTGTTTGCAATAGATCATAATCGTCATAATTACATTGTCCATGACGAAGACGATCGAGCAGTTGAAGATATCCTGAATCTTCTGTTCGCATCTGTTGTGTAAGTTTCACCACACAATTTATTTGAAGAAGTAACGAACGTGCAACACGTTGCTGAACTTCTTTTTCAGACGGTATTTTCCCTAGTTTCTTCTTGGATGGTAGTGAAAAGTCGGTATGTAATGGTGAATCATAGACTGGTCGATATTGTAAATAGTCTCCAAAGAAAATCACGTTCACACCACCGAACGGAACTTGAGGATCGACATGTTTTTCAGAGCAAATAATTCTGTTAAGTTTTCCCAATAAAGTCAAGCCAACCATACTCATTTCATCAATTAACAGATATTCAACAGGTCGCCATTCTTTTTCCAATTTGGAATCACCTGGTTTGATGGTACGTAGCTTTCCTGAATTACGTTGTTCACCTAAGAATGAATGAATTGTCATACCATCGATTTCAGCTGCTGCAATTCCAGTAGGTGCAAGTTTTCTCATCATTTGCATTCTTTTTGTAATAAGGAAATATTTTGTGAGAGCCCGGATCAGTTGTGATTTGCCTGTTCCGCCGCATCCAGGTACACACATTATGAGTTGACCATTATTGTCACCTAAAACAGATCATTTTAATGTAAACAATGATAATTTATTTTATGAAAATGTATACCTGTGCGACACCGACTATCACCATCAAGATGGATATTTTTCGATGTTGCTTTGATTAGTATATGTATTTACAACTGTTACAACAGCATTCGTTACATCGTCAAAATCCAAAATATCACCATCTTCGTTATTTTTGCCCGAAATTAAACTGCGTCTGATTCGTTCTCTTTCAATCTTCAGCTGATCTTGCCATTTCGAATTGAGTTTAATTAGATTCGACTTTGCAGAAACAAATGGCACAATTTGCCGATCGATGTGTGTATTTGTTGAACATGGATCATACTCTAAAAGAAAATGTTCTAATAGGTTTGTACACTGTATCGACAGTGAAAAATTAGTACTTACGGTTCATATGATTAAACCGTCCAACTTTTTCCACAGCTTCAACAGTTTCTCGAATGTACGTATTTTCTGTAGATTTTTTTGTGGCATTGATTGAAGCAGTTGTAAATTCATCGACATTGCCTATCAATTGAATCAAATCGTCGATATCATCTATTTCATGTTCATCATGATCATCTTGATTAGATGGCAGAAGTACAGGATCAATTGAATCATTCTCGACTTGCGCTTTAGCAATGACTTGAAGTAAATGTTCATCACGATCCTTTTTACACTCATGTAGAAGCTGAATATTCTCTATTATCTTCCATGAATGGGCAGAAATAAGCTCTTTTCGCGATTCCAGGGCATCCTCCCATGTTTGATCAACATTACAAAGATCAGTTACATTGCGCCAAGGTACAAAAAGTGTGAGAATTGCTCGACTGTATCGTTCACGAGTTTCATCACGATCTTGTCGAGGAATCTGTGAGCCATAGAGAACAGGTACATGGGCTTCGCTGTATTTCATATGTGTGTTGTCGCTTGAGGATGCTCGTTTTGAAAAGAAAATCGCTCATTTGCTGGTCGACCTCTTTGGTTATCTTGGCGCTCTTCTGTCGTGGAAGATTTAGATAAATATTTTAAATCGGTTTCATTGATTTTTTTCGTATAAAATGTGCTGACAAAATCGTATAAACATCTGTTACGGAGATTGTCTGGACGGTATTGATAATCAATGCGTGCATTGACGAGAATAAAATTGCTTTTATCTTCCGTCGGTTGAATTTGAAAATTTTCTTCATTATTTTCATCGTTGTTCGTTTCATCCTCATCATACGCTTCTTCACCATCAATTCCATCTGCATGTGAAGAAAAAAAATCGATCATTATAAACGAATTGTTTCGTCAGTTCACACATAGATAAGCAACTACATCTGACTAATTTAGTTCAATGATAAAGATTTATCCATAACGATATCGAACTTAAACGAATCTGATTTCATTAAACAATACAACAATAGTGTTCACACTTTTTCATTCGTCATAACACTCCTTATGTGGTGAGTGCATCAAGCTATTTGCTTCCTTTCTCTTTGATTGTTCACAGATTGTCTATGTATTGAGCGCTATCCTTTCGTTTTCCTCTTTTCTCTTTCCTTTTCTTCGAACAAGTTCATTGGCTAATTAATTCACACAGGTCAACCTGTCTGATGTTCAGTTTGTGTTTGTGCTAAATTATCTCTTTTCCTCTTTCTTTTTTTTCATTGGATCGTCTTCTCTTCGTCTCTCTATTCTCTCCTCTTCTCTTATATTCTCTCCCCTCTCTCTCTCTCTCTATGTACGAAAAAAATTGCCACTGTATGAGAATTAATTGAAAAATGAACATGTGATAGAAAATGATTAGATTTACCGTGTGATGCAAGTCGAAGATTTTGCTTTGCACGCATTTCATTCAGTTCCGTTTGTAAATATTGTTCAGTTTGAATTAAATAGACACCTTGAAATTTATGTGTTGTATAATGGTCATCCTAGTTCATAAGATAAGAAGCAACTTGAACACCAGACAGTTCTTGTTGTGATGCAAGCGCATTATAACAACGTAGGACAAGTTTACGTGATTTGTCAATTGCATTGTCATTGTTTATTTGATTGTTTGAATTTTGTAATGAAGTGATACTCTTTTGTACAAGAGAGAATGTATCATGACAAGATAGACTCATCTTTGTAACATAATCTGTAATGTAATAAACTAAAGCTTCAGCATCACTTCCAGTCCAAATAAATTTAATATCCATATTAGAGCGACAAGCTGATATGATATATTCATTGAAATTATTGATCCATGAATCTGATCGTCTCATCGAAATATGACCCGTCTCAGGATCGATTGTTGACTCTGCCACTTTTTTTCGTGGCATATTTAGATGACAATCTTTCTTATCACCTCCATAGGCATTGCAATATTTGTAACATGTAGCCGTATATCTGTGAGTGTTGTCCGATTCAACAAGTTGAACGATGTTAGAACGAAAACGTGGTAGGAAATTTGGTGACGAGGGATTTGGAGTAGGTAAACAGGCAGGGAATAATTTGAATCGATTCGATGGCACATACACAACTGAAAATAAAAATAAAAATCTCATTTTTATCAAGTATTATTGTGCCGTACCGGATCCAGGTCGATCATGTGTTGATGTGGGCGTTAATGGGCTCAATATTGGAGATCTATAGGGAATTGATGGTGACCCAAATGAAATCGATGGAGATTTGTAAGGAATTGATAGAGACGATGGGCGTGACAAATTAGCTGATTCACTTGTGTTCTCTGTTAAGCCTGTCAAATCAATAGTACGTAAAGCGGTATAGATGTTGCTTTGAGATAACTTATTAGGCGTGTTCAGTGGCTCCGGTTCTATCATAAATAAATGAAAAGGATAATGATCAAATAAAACAAAAACATTTTCTCCTACTATTTGAAGATTCAATGACTTGTTCATCTTTGAATTCGTCTAAATCTTCTCTAATAATGTCTTCTAAATATGCTATTAACTTATTGCGAAAAGTAGCATCTTGAATTTTTTCTTTCATGTCAGCCGGTTTCAAATCATGATCAAGCCAAATAAGAAGATGTAGGTGGAGTGAACCTCGGCCTTAACTTTCGACAGTACCAAAATAAGCTTTTACTGGTCCAATAACACCACCCATGATCATAGTATCTAAGATATTGGTAATTAATGTATGGAAATATTTGGCAGTAGAAACTGGATGAGATGCTATAATCTCAGCTCTTCGATAAGTATCCATAAGTTGTTCATGTTGAATTCTGTCAAGATTAAGTGGAACACCAGCAAAATATAGGGCTACAGGACTATGAATATCAGCTGGATTTATTGTAAGAAATATACTGGGAAGACCTTGATTGAAAATAAGTGCATGGATTCGAGTACGTAATGCTGTTCTTGAATATGCTGATCCCATAACTCGACCACCCACAGTTTTTATATGTTGCAATAGTTTATTCAATGTACTGTTTGATCCCGTAGTGTATGTTCTTTTGGAATTATTATTACCGAGAGCTATTTCAATATCTTTACTTTTAATGGATTGAATTTCATTAGCAGATGCTTGAAAATATGGCCGTGTGGCAATTAATCGAGCGTGAAGACAAGCATCACGTCTTTGCAATAAGTTGAAGACGACAAATATGAAACTATGATTTGTTTCAAACCGACGATCATTATAAGACAACAGATAGTGTATGTGCTCTCTGAATTTGATTTCAACTGAACGTGATTGGTCTTCAGGTGCTCCTCGTCCATAGCAAAATAGAGTTGGATATAAACCAGTTAATAATCTTGGATTGAAATATTCATTGGCTGGTTTAGATGAATGTGGAATTAAGTAAACATTATCGGCACCTGTTTCATTATTATTTCCATTATGTTTTATCTTATGCAAAAGGTAATCATTGATTTCATCCGATGATACTGATGAGCCATTGACATCGAGAACGCCGCTACAATAGAGAAGCTATATGAGTTAATTGGTTTATAACATATGTTCTTACCTGTTACTGATAGGTATAACATTTGAAGTAGTATTTTCTTGTGGGTTCAATAATGGATCAGGAACATATCCAGTTCTTTCAGACTGCGCTTCTTCGTCGCCTATCTTCTGCTCTAAAATTGACATAATGCATTCCGGGATATCGTCTTCCGGTAATTGAGCGATATTTTCGAGATTTATATTGATGTTTTGATAGAGTCCATTGTTTTTTTTCAGCCATTGTAATGCCTGAATAATTTTCTTCTTCCGAACTGTTAGAACTCTTCTAAGATGAAGACGATCAGGCGGTCGAGCTCCAATAAATATGACTTTTAATGTATCACATAGATCGGCAAGCGCAAGTGGCAAGCTATTGACAATATTCGGTACATTTTGGAGGAAAGTGATACAATTTCCTTTCAATGCTGTTTGACCTGTAGTGGCTCAATGAAAAGGTGATTGAAGTTTAATTATACAGGTATTGTGGCGATAGAGTGATATTAATTTCTCTTCTGGAATCGTCAAGCCTTGTAATTCTGTAGGTATATCACCTAACCACATATTATTGGCAGGTGAAAACTTTGGTATATGTTCTTTGGAAAGAGATGTATAACATTTCTGACAAAGAATACACATCTGTACTCGATTTGTTTTGAATAAACCATTTCTATATAGAAAAATATCATTGTCGCAATCAAAAGATGACCAATCAGAATTTGGATGATCTAAAAATAAGCAATTTTGACTAAATTTTTATTTTCATATAATTCTACAGACTTTTAATATGCGATGTCGTCTGTTGATTATTATCATCACCATTGAAAATAGAAATATTTTCGGCAGAACTTTTCATTAAATTTTTGAGTTGTTCAGATACTTTGAGTAAATCAATATTAGGAATTTTCGAAACTGGTATTTTCTTCGCATCTTTCTCTGAAGTACGAATATTGCAAACTGCACATGTAACTTCAGCTAGTTCTGACATGGACATTTGTTTTAGAAATTGTTGTAAACAAGTGTCTTTCAATTCACGAGGAATTGGTTCAGGCCAAGATGAAGGAACACAACGGTCTGCATGGCCGACGTTGTCATTCTCTTGTTTTTCAAGTTGTTTCTTCGTTCTAGTTGATTTACTTCGTTTTTTCTGTTGTTCGAGTCGAATTCGATATTGCTCTTCAGTTTCATTTCTTCGACTGGATTGTACTCGTTTTCTATCCTTTTGAAGACGACTTTGGTGTTGTTCTTCTAACTCACCTTGTCGAATGGATCGGTTTCGTTCTCTATCTTTCTGAAGACGGTATTGCCGCTGTTCTTCTGTTTCATTCATTCGACTAGTTCGACTTCGTTCCCTTTTCTTTTGAAGTTGTATTTGACGTCGTTCTTCTTTATCATTCTTTTCCATTTGCATCGAGCGTGAGACATTTGGTTGAACAACGTCATTTCCGTTGCTGTTTTCGCTTCGTAAACGTCTACTAGGAGAAGATTGAAAGTCAGGTACTCTTACTTGAGTAGCAGCGTTGTTTTTTATCGTTTTCTTTTCAGGAGTCTAAATAAAGTTTCAATATTCTTAATTGTATACATAGACAGATAATTGGCTTACCACAATAATTGATGATGATTGACTGATGTTATTATGTTCATTCATAATAGGTGGCGACAGAAGTGGGACAAAATGATTTGCTCTCCACGTGCCATTGTGTATATGTCGAGCATCTTTTTCATTTAAGGCATTTGACCATAGAATTGAAATGCTACAATTGGCAGCAACAGGTGGAATAGGTGTAAAGACGTCATTCCATTTAGCCATCTCGTCACGAAAATCGATTTTCGGATAGATACTTCGTATATTACATCGAAGTAGGTTGCATAATGCGGCAATTTCATACAATTCAGAATACATGTAATTTTTGCATACAAGTCTAATAGCATCATGAGTAGATCCCACAAATTTTGAATAAGTATTTTGATAATAATTTTCATTAGTTACAAGTTCCACAATTGTTCGAACTATAAGTATTTTTCAAAATAATTTTATTATGCCGTCAAAGAAATTAAACGTTGTACCTCGTAATTCACAAGCGGTCACTAATGGATTGTTCATAAGCACAATGATAGAGTGATATAGACAATTTCCATCGCCAAAAACATCAACAGGCACAAGATGATGTGTATCATCAGCTGCCTTCTGAAGGTATTTTGTGGCAATCACATCTACTACATGCTTTGTTTCATCAAAAACATAAGTAGGATAAAACTGAAAGGGTCTCATCATCAAATCCATCTAGATATTCTTATTTTGTTTAATCGACCAATTATTTAAATAAACTCACGTGTTTGATTCGTTGGACAGCAGAATTAATTTCATCGTGGTACATGATACTTTCAGAACACCTTTCCAAATGCTGAAGTAGACGTTCAAATTTTAAACCACGACTCATTTGATTGCATT